ATCACCTAAGACTAAGACACTCAATTATGGCAAAGGAGGTACATCAGGGGGCATAGGACAATGGGATCCACTGGTCCCACCTCAAGCCACACCATGCTGAAGCTGGTAGCCTGACAGAGCAAAGGAAACCTCTTTCAGATGCAGCTGTGGCATTGGCTCAGAGAAAAATCCCTGTGAAGATAGGGTGCTATCCTTTAGAATGAAGTATGTTCCATAAACCAACAGTTTTTATAATGTGCCCTGGGCAGAACGCATTGGTTTGAGAAACACAGGGTAGAAGTGGGAATAGCCCACTTACCATTATGTCTAGTAACTCACTTATGGGATATCTGATCGCTTCAACTTTGGACTCTGTGGCTCTAGGAGTCCTGACGCCCAAGGAAGAATACTTCCAATTGGGAATACAGTGAAAATCCCACTACATAGAGCTATTACTGCTGCCCTGTCATGTTGGGGTCCTCATGCCAAGACCAAAAGGCAAGGCCAAGGGTCACAAGAGTGGCAAGGCTGATTGATCTTGAAATGATCCTGATCCTCAGCAGGGGCAGCCCACAGTCAATGACTAACAGATGCAGAGACACAAAAGACTGGCCCTTTTGCTTCAAGGGACAGCTCAGTGCCCAGATCCTCCCACTGTGATCTGGCCCCTGTGTATTACCTGAGATCACATCCTTGCTTGGTTTTCTCCTTTCCTATCCTGCTTTACTCCCTGCCTCCCAATTTCCACCTCCGTAAATCACATCCTAGGCTCTCCAAATTCCTGTTTCAGGGTCTACTTTTAGGCAACCCTAGCTAAGAGAGAAGTGGAGTAAAATGCAGCAAGGAAGAGAGATTGGGAGCGGGTGGGAGGAGGAGGGAAAGAGAGTTGGGAGAGTCCTCCCTGGGAAGGTAACTTTTGGGTAGAGACTTGAAAATGGGAGAATAAGCCATCAAAGAATTAGAGATAAAACCTTACAGGGTGAAAAACAGGATGCAGAAGCTGGCACAGGAGGGGTCTAGGGAGTCCCCCCATCAGTGCAGAGTATGGCTGGAGTGGAGTGAGGCAGGAAAAGAAGGCCAGAGATGAAGTCAGAGTTCTCAAGTTCCCACAAATCAGGTAGGGTCTTTAAGTCCATTGAAAAGATGTTGGCTTTAATTCTGAGAGAGGTGGGAAACCGTGGGGAGGTTTTGAGCAGGGGAGAGATGCGACCTGACTTTGCTTTACTAGAATTACCCTGGCCAGTAGATGCCAACTTGCCTGAGGTTGTCCAGGCAGAAAGTAAATGATGTCACAGCAGTTAGAACCTGGACTCACCTGACCTCAGAGCCCACTCTCACACACTTGTATTTGTCAATGGGCTAGACAAAGCATGTCTGGCGCATAAGTTGAATACACAGTCACTGAATGCTGATGATGGAAGCAACACACAAGGATTGGTTCCATCTCTTTAAAGGGAATATATAAATATAAGGAGACCAAGCATCCCATCAGTTTCCCTTGGGAAGTCTTCAATACTACAACTGATTGGGAGAAAAGCTCATACTTGCCGAAAAGATCCAGTGATTGCTGGCTACACTGCAGCCCAAGTAACTCCCTAAACCTAAATGAGTCATTAAGTTTCAACACAATAAGTGGGAAGAGCAAAGACAGAGAGGTTGCATAGTGTAATGAATAAGAATGGTGGGCAGAGAACATCTGGTCTGAAACCCAGCTCTGCCATTTATAAGCTATGTGACCTTAGGAAACTTACTAAACCTCTCTGTGCCTCAGCTTTCTCTTCTAAAATGGTAACTGCAGTAGTCCCCATCCCATAGCGTTTAAAAGAATTAAAAGTGTTTACAGTGCCTGGAACAGATGTTTGCCATTATTATTTTATTATACATAAGCAATTAGAGGACACCCATATTGTCATGTAAGTAAAAAAATCTACATGTCTATTTCTAGAGATCAGTTTCTAAATGTAATGCCTTCCATGTCATCTGTTCCAATACTGGACTATGAGTGAATGTATTCTTTCTTCCTACACTTCTGAAATACTAGTGTACTTTTAGCTGATGAAATTGTTCAGCTGTGTTTTATCAATGACTCTTCTCCAGAAAGGCTAATAACGCCTGACTATAATCAGCCCCATGTACAAACTTCAAATGTTTCCCTATGCATGTGCCACTCCCCTGAGCATGAGAAACACTCAGTAATTAAAAAGCCCCCCCAAAAGAAATGCCTGGGTGGCTCAGGTATTTAAGCACACAACTCCTGGTTTCCGCTCAGGTCATGATCTCAGGGTGGTGAGATCGAGTTTTGAGTGGGGCTCTGTGGTCAGTGTGGAGTCCACTTGTGATTCTCTCTCCCTCTCCCTCCCACTCTGCTCCCCTCCCCTGCAATGCATGTGCGTGCTCTCTCAAATAAATAAAATCTTTTTTAAGAAAAGCACCCTAATAATTCCATTTAAATGATGATTTCAGTATCCAATATTACAAGACATCAGTGATTTACACTGCTTAGGAGTTAGGAAGTCAACGTTTCTAACTTCTGAATGTTCTTGTACCTTACAAAACAGAAAATAGTATTTTCTGATTTTTTTTCCATTGGAGTTTGCCAACTGGTTTTAAGTGAAAAATCAGCAGGGAGGAAGGAATGTTCATTGTATACCAGGCTCTGGGTGGGGCACTTAAATATAAATATCTTATAGACAAGGTGAACACCAAGTGTGTATCAGAGTTGGTCTCGGTGAAGGAGTCCTAATTCTGGAGCTCTGCTCAAAGACTGTCAGAGCTTAGGGTCAACTTGGATTGCTAGTCAGTTAATGCCTTTTCTTACCTTCCTCTGCCAATAATTTCCTTCTAGGATCACAGAAAGAAGGGGTTCAAGTTTGGCACTATTTTTTCTCAAGTCATTCTCTAGTAAGCCAACAGTGATAACATCTAGTATGCATTTAGAGCATCCTATATCCTCTCAAGCCCTGTTAGTCATTTTCTATTGTGTTGTGACTCACTTCCAAAGAAACCATTCAGAGTCCTAAACACATAGCTCCATGTTGGGTTGAGGTCGTACAACGTGGAAATTATGAATCTTGTTCTATTCCTAAGCAAACCAATCTGGCAAACAAAAGAATCTTCAAGTGGATCATCTAAGCAAACACTAGAAAACCAGCTCTTACAATAAGTCTCTTACCGAAGAAAGTGATTCAATTTCAAAAAAGCAATTCAATTTAATGTTGGAAAGAAAATTCCTAAGTGCTTCCTTGTCAAATATTGTATAAACTAAGGCACAGAGTTGGATGATTATTATGGTGACTGTAGTTAACGATAATCCAAAGTCACAATTTTTGTTCCTGGCTTTGTCAGATGCCTTTGTCATCATACTTAAATATGCCAATCAAGCCATTGTGCCTTCCTCTTTCATTTTTAATCAAAGGAACACCACCACAGTAAGATGGACGTTACCTGGAGAGTACGCAATACAAAGCTAAAACATTCTTAAAAGGAAAGGTCATTATAATTACTTCCTATGTTTGGGTGGTTTATCCTGCTGTCAGCTAGGTTTTTATCTATACGTGATAATTCATTGTGGGCCTAATTGAAATCTTTTTGTTTTTAACATTTAAATTAATGACAGGCTGAACCCAGTTCTCTTACTATGAAAGTTCATCAAGAGTGATACAGTGCAGGGGCGCCTGGGTGGCTCAGTGGGTTAAGCCTCTGTCTGTGGCTCAGGTCACGATCCCAGGGTCCTGGGATCAAGCCCTGCATCAGGCTCTCTTCTCAGCAGGGAGCCTGCTTCCCTCTCTCTGCCTGCAGCTCTCCCTCCTTTTGATCTCTCTCTCTCTCTGTCAGATAAATAAATAAAATCTTAAAAAAAAAAGAGTGATACAGTGGAAATTTCACACTGACAAGCCCCTGTGTTATAAAACCCAAGGAATGGAGTGAACCTCTGTGTGCCTAGAAATAGTCCCTTCCATGCTGAAGGGTTTTTTTTTTTTTTTTAATTTAAAGGATACCACGTAAAAGTTAAAAGGAGATACCAGATGGCATTTTCACTCATCAGGATTAGAAAGAGTCATTCAAACATATAAAAATCTTATCAAGAGTATTTTTCACATTTTTTTATATCAGAGAGTTTAAAGAAGTCATTTTACCTTGTGCCTAAGGACTGCTTATAAATTCACCTATAAAACCTAGAAAGGCTATATTTATTAAAAAAACACAAATTAAAATGTCCCATCAATTCATTCATTTGTGGCAAACTCTCCTTCCAATAACAATGTATTTTACTTTTTTTTTATTTTATTTTTTTCAGTGTTGTACTTTACTTCTAAAAATTGTTTATTTTTTGGTTTGGAAATGACCACATACATGCATTTATTCTAACTTCCAGCTATTAATTTCTATCTTAATACAAAGTGTTTCTATTTTGGACAAAAACATTCACTTTAATGATAGTACATAATATTTTCTCACTGTAACCATGTAAGGTTTTTTTTACTTAAATACTAATTTTTAAAGATACTTTCTTCAAACTATTGTGTAACTATTCTTTTCTTTCAAAACCAATCAGCAACCACCCTATATAGTTTATATAACAAGCTAAATACATATCCAATTTTCATTTGTAGTGAAAATTCTTAAAAATTATTTCAACTAAAAGCATAACCATGTAACGGGGTTCCTGATTTTGGCATTATTATTGAATTAACAGGAAATATTATCTCCCTGTATCTTTTCTAATTCAATGCCAAGCACACAATATGCAACATCACTATCTCCAGTAAGTACACATTCTGCCATATAAACAAAATGCCTGTCTTGTTATTTTCCTAATTCAATCCTATACTTTCGATGCATTTTTTTTTTAAAACTCCAGGCATTGTGTGTTGGAGCCGGAAAGGACTCCAGAAGCCATCAAATCTGACCTATCCACTCCTTTTTAAAAATGTGGCTTTTAAAATATGAAGCAAATTCTTTCAAACATTGGCAATGTGAAACTACTCAGAAATAACCTGAAGTTTGCATTCAAACTTTACCTTTGTAAAATCCCCAACGAATCTCCGACGGCGTTCTTCACTCCTTCTTTTCCAGGTTTCAGAATTTTTTCTTTGAAGGTATCAAATGCTTTAAAAGGCATTTTGAATGGGTGAGGGGGACCTCCAAGCACTAACAGTTAAGTCTCAGAAACTGTTATCCTTCCTCATCTCCAGCGTGGGGACCACTCTGCTCTCCTCGACGAGTAGTACCCTGAAGTCAGTTCTCATGGAGGTAACTACTTAACATCAAAAAGGAGATGAAACCCAGCTCAGATATTCCAAGAGGAGACACCCTTCCTAAATCCCTCCCCCTCCCCCCCAAAAGAGAGGCCAAGTAGTGTCTGGCTGGGAGTTCAGTCCCTTGAAAGCCACAAGCTCAGCAGCAGCCCGTGACACTGTCTCAGGCAGCCACTCTCAGGCTGAGCGCAGCCTCACTCCCTCCCTGGGGCTGCAGCTGGAGAAGCTGAAGTGGGCTCCAGCCCACGAGGTGTCCTGAGACCAGCAACAGCATCTGCAGCCTCTCTCCAGCCCCTCTGGCTGCTTCTGACCACATCCCCCTCCTGCCTCACTCAGCCAGTGGCTCTCACTGAGTGATCCTTTCCAAGGTGATGCTATAGTAACCGGCACAATACCTGTCCCTCAGCCGCTGGGGCTCATTAGTGGGCTGTCAGCCAGAGCAGACACCCAGGTCGAAGCGAATGAAGCATTTACAAGTCCTCAGCGTCTCTGAGGTCCAGCCTTACAGATGGGCTCTCGGCCACCAGGGTACGCCTCATACGCCCCTCGAGGGATCCCTGAAGCGGTTTCTCAGCCAGATACTAGTGTGGACGTGGTCCTTGGAGGAACATTTGCATGCTAGAGTGCTAAATGCAAGTATCCAGGAAGGTATTTATTTGCTCCTGATGGACAGAGCAGGATCTCTCAAGGTACAGTGCGAGGGTCCATTGGGACTGACTAACGGAAGGTATCTGAGCCGGTCCTAGTACTTGCTTAGACCTCTTCACTGGTCCTCACTGTCCTCAGGAGAAATCTAAGTTCTTTATTACTTGTCATGGCTCACAAGGACCTCCACGGGACCTTGTTTCTTGTCATTCTGCTCTTCGTATCAGCCCTTCACTGAACTCATCGAGCTCCACGTAGGGGTTTGCTCAAGCTGTACCTTCTGCCTGTGGGTAACTCTCCACACCCTTCATCTGGGAAGTGTCAGGGGATTGTTAAGCCTCACCAAGACATCTCTTCCTCTAGTAACCCTCACAGACAAGGTGTCCCTCCTCCACACCTCCAAATCACCTGTCCTCTGCCCCAGTAAGCCCTGGCACATAGTGGAGTATAACATAAAGGGTTGTTGTACTGGGGTTAAAATATCATATGTTATGGGCAGCAGGTGACACCTTTGTAAATGATGCTGCCACAAAGAAACAGCTGTCATTAGCAAGGCTCCGGTGCTCTAACCTCCCAGCCTGCATGCGCCTAACAGATCCTGTGCTACGGGCTCTCAGATTCCCCCAAAAGTCATGTCCACAGGACTGGTCACTGTCATTTGCAAGCTGCAAATGATCCTTCAAGTCTGATCCTTCTTCAAGATTTGAATTAAGTTATCTAAATCACAGCTGCATCCTTGGTAGATTAAATACTACTACCAATAATAACTATTATTATTATTATGGTTAATATTATATCAGGCTCTCTCTATGGCCCAATTCTGTTAGGCACGCTTCATATATTATCACAATCTTCCCAAGACTGCTTTGTGATTAGTAACTCATTTTTCCCAATTTCACCAATAGGAAACTGAGGCAAAGACTTGCCAGGTTTCAGATCCAAACAGCCTGGCTCCAGCTGTTCTCACCTGTCTCTCTTTGTGTCTCTCTCTCCTCCCCATCACATCCTCTGCTTTGCCTCCTCTGACTTTACCGAGGTATATTCTGTATATCACATAGTTCATCCATTTCAACTGGACAATGGTTTTCAGTAAATTTACCAAGTTATGCAATAATGGTGGGTATTAGGTGCTTATGCTAAAGCACAAAGTAGATAGAATGTGTCTATCATCCCCCAAACATCCCTTATATTCACTGTTAATGCCCATCTCCCCCTCCGACTCCCAGTCCCAGGTACCCATTAATCTATTTTCTTTTCATATACATGGAATCATACAATATATGCTCTCCTGTGCCTGGCTTCTTACACTTTTGAGGTTTGCCACAGCTCCTATTAGCAGTTGTTACTTCTTTTTTTCTTTTCTGCAGAATATTTCAATATATGAACTTACCACATGATGCCTATCCATTGATCTGTTGATGGACATTTAGGTTGTTTCAAATTTGGGGTTATTATGCACAAAACTGTTAAGAATATACCCGTGCAAGTCTTTGCTTGGACATAACTCTTCATTTTTCTTGAGTAAATACCAGGAATGAAATTGCTGGGTCATTTCATAGGTATTTGTTAACTTTTTAAGAAACTGCCAAATTATTTTCCAAAGTGGCTGCATTATTTTATGTTCCCACCAGCATGTATGAGGGCTCCCATTTCTGTACATCCTCACCAATATTTGCTATCTTTTTTAGTATAGCCATTCCAGTGGGTATGAAATGGTATCTCACGGTGGTTTTAATTTGCATTACCCTGACAACTAATGACATTGACCACCTTTCCATGTTCTTACTAGCCATTTTTATGTTTTTTCAATGAGATATTTGTCTTATTATTGAAGTGTATATGTTTTTAGTCCTTTTTTAGATTATGTGTTTTGCAAATATTTTTTCTTGGTCTGCCATTTGTCTTTCCATATTCTTCATGCTATATTTGAAGTACAAAAATGTTTAATTTTGATGAGGTCCAATTTCAGTTTTTTCTTTTATAGACTGTGCATTTGTTTATATATCTAAGTGATCTTTGACTAATCTGAAGTCTGAAAGATTTTCTTCTATTTTTCCACTACAAGTTTTATTGTTTTAGCTCTTATATTTAAGTCCATAATCATTCTGAGTTCATTTTTATATATGGTGTAAGGCATACATCTAAATTCATCATTTTCCATGTGGATATCCATTGTCCTAGCACCATTTGTTAAAAAGGCTATCCTGGATTAATTGTCTTGGCACCTTTGTCAAAAAGTCAGTTGAACATAAAGATCTATTTCTGGAGTGTCAATTCTTTTTATTGATCTTCATGTCTATCCTTATGCCAGTATCACACTGTCCTAACACAGCTTAATAATAAGTTTTGAAATTGGGAAATTAAATCACTTGTTCTTTTTTTTTTTAAATTGTTTTGGCTATTCTAAGTCTTTTACATTTCCATATAAATTTTAGAAGCAGCCTGTTAGTTTCTACAAAAATTCCTGTCAGCCCTGTGCTCTTAAAAGGATAGTTTCTGGCCACCAATCCTCAAGGCTGAGAATGCTAAGACCCCAGGACATCACACACACAATCACTTCACCAAGTCTTTACCTGTTTCCCAAAAAGCTTGCTCCTTCATCAAAAGCAAATACAATCACAATATGATAAGTACACTCATTCGCTACAGAAAGCATCCACTGGCAGAACTTCTAACCCAATTCTTAGTCCCTAGCTACTCTAAGGTTACTTATCTCTTAGAGCACACAATGGAAGCACTACCAGACAGAGACCACATGAACCTCTTTCTGAAGGGTCAATGGCTGCTGAAAACACTAACCATACCTTAAAGAACTGGCCTTCATGTTGCTCATGAAACACACTTAGGTCTACAAAAGTTTCTTGCTGGTGATTTAGATGGTTGATAATGGTAATAACCTTTGTGGAGTAGTTTCTAGGTGTCAGACTTTAAGCACTCAACTCATGTAATCCCCACAACGACCCTCTGAGGTAGGTACAATTATTATGCCATCTACAGATGAGGAAATGGAGGCCAGAAAGGTTAGGTAAACTTGCTCAAGTGCACACAACCAAGACACTAAACATAGACAAGAGATGAACCCAGGAATTCTGCCATCAGAGCCAGCACTTTAAGCTTCCACACTAGAATTGGGGATAATAGAGACAAGAAAATATCAAGCCAGACTTTAAAGAATTGAGGTTTGTTTTATTCACCTGCTGTTTTTCTTTAAGGCCTACTATGTGGCAGGCCCTTCTGAGGCACTGTGAGAGGTTGAAATGGAAAGGCCTCTTGAAAAACAAAACCAACCACAAAATGAGTTCGTGCAGCACAGCAAGTGTATGGAGTTACGGGAGCACAGGCAAGGACACCTCACTTGGCTTGCTGATGGGGAACAGGAGAGGACTTCCTAGATGAGGGGCGTGGGAATGTTACTTTCCAGGGATGAGAGAATGAGGCAAACTAGGAAAAGAACAAGTGCGAGCAAAGACTTGCATGAGGGAGTATAGCATCTGAGGGTAACTTGCATACTTTCAGAGTTGGGTGAGTGTGTGCCATGTGGTAGAAAACAGCCAGAATTATGATCTTGAGCTTTCTATAACTCAACTGTTAAACATTGGATCCCCATCTCAAAACATCAGATAGTGTAAAGATACAGGAAACGTGTAGAATAGAACCTCCTGAGGGCCATGAAATGAAAGCTTTTTTTGGGATATGTAGACTGAATGTTTATTAGAAAAGAGTCCACCCATCAACACATATTAGATGACTTCTTGGCATCCTGTATCAAAAAAGTCTCTTCTCTTAGACAAAATATTAACTCAGACCTCTTTAGAAATACTTGTTCAGATCACAGCAGGCTCTCATCTCTTCTCACCACTGCTGGATGGATCAGGGGTGAGCTCCTACACCCAGCTAAGGCAGTCAGTCAGATGCCAGATTCTCCTGGTAATTAAACTTTGGAATTGAAAGACTGCTAGTTAACTGTGCAGGACCCGGGGGCTGTAACTGTGGAATGGCTACATTCCCTGTATGGACTGGAGATGCAGAGAATACTGGCCTGACAAAGAGAGGAATGAAACAGAATGAAACTTTATCAGGGTGAGTATGTCTCTGCTTATAACAACCTTCCAGTTCCTGTTGGTCTGGATCCAGCTGTCCTTGGACCCTTGGGTTTCATGAAATACCCACACCCTTATAACAAATTGACCTTTTGTAGCCTGCTCTAGTTAAGACAGCTTCTGCTCCTCACAGATAAAGAACTTTGACTATTGCAATGGGTTAAAACCCAAATCCTGTAATGCGAAGACTGTCTCTACCTACACGATACAGGAAGATTCACTGTCCAGTTTACTGACAGGTAGGATTTCTAGTCCCCAACAGTGAAAAGAGTAGAGCCTGTGGCCTGGTTGTGAGCTGACGTTCTAATCTACCTG